TTTTACCCTTTTAAAATTAGTCAAATTTGGTAAGACTTTTAATTTTTGGTCAACTAACAGTCAAACTAACATTTTTCATCCATTTGGACTTCAGCTACAATATTTTGAAAGATTTGGTATCGTGGATGACACAAATGAAAGGTTTGGATAAAGTTTGCTACTTAATGAAAGATTTGATACCGCTACTGCAATTTTTCCATTATTTTGTTATTCACACATTTCGTGAAACTCATAGCTCCTCATTATAATCTAAAAAATGGTACAATGGTCATTTTATTAAAAAATGACTTTTAACGGTCACATAGATTACAAAAGATCTTAGGTGCAAACATTTGAAAGCTTTTGGTACTCCAAAGGTTAGAAATCAAAGGTTCGAGACCCATCATCAAAAGGTTCAAAGGTTAGGGTCCCCAATAATATTACTCGAACTTTATAAGAAACAAATTAAAGTTCGGTGGCCATGGTGATGTTAAGTAAAATTTTAATGGTCATGGTGAATTAAATTAAAGTTTAATGCCCATCTGATACTAAGTGAAAAGTTTGATGGCCTAGATAAATAAATTAAAGTTCAGTGGCCATAGTGACACTATGTGAAAAGTACGGTTGTCAAAGATGAAATTAACCCGCTGAATAATGTGCCCAATGGATCCCAGCTATAAAAAGTGGGTTTGAGCCGTTTGAGAATCGGGTCCCAATTCCCATACTCGAGCCGTTTGAGAAATAGGACTTTCTGCATTTCAAAAGAATTTGAAATTTATTGAGAGGGATGGAAAATGAAAGTGTTTGATTCTCTCTCTCACACACGTACAGAAACCTTGTCTCTAGTTTTGTTTTCTAATGTAATTCTTGAAACTCTTGGGACTCATTATCTATATCCAACTCTTTCTCGTTGTTACCTCGTCATTTTTAGATACCCTTCTTCTCCACCTCGGCACCTCCTCTTTTCCACTCATTTTCCCCTTTCTTCTTTCTTTTCAACTTTTCTTGAACCCTTTTTCAGCTTGAAAACCAAGAAAACTTTTGTGCACTTTTAAATTAGAGTGTGCTGTAGCATAAGGGTTGCTGTAGAAGCTGAAATATTAAGAAAATGAGTGCTTCAAAGTTCATCAAATGTGTGACTGTAGGAGATGGAGCTGTGGGCAAAACTTGCATGCTCATTTGTTACACCAGTAACAAGTTCCCAACTGTGAGTTTCAGAGTTCAAATATCCTTTCTTTTTTACTTTGTATCTCAATTTCCCCAGGCCCAGGCACCCATTTTTTTTGGTTCTTATCCTAATTTCTCAAGATAATCAGCTTATAATTTTGTGGGTTGTTTTTGCAACAATGGGTTTTGAATTCTTCAAGATTTCATTTGTTTTAGTCTTTTTACGTTTTTCTGAAAAATTGGTATTCTTGATGGGTAAATCCATGTATCAGCTTTGCTTGTTTTCAATTTTCGTTGTGTTCAATAATGCTTTTGTAAGAAGTAATTCGGGCTTAATCGGTTTTTTAAATCTATTTTACCTCTGCTCTCTTTCTTTATCATTCTTGTCTCTGTGTGTGGCAGGATTATATTCCAACAGTGTTTGACAATTTTAGTGCTAATGTGGCTGTAGATGGCAGTATTGTCAATTTAGGACTATGGGATACTGCAGGTATTATTATATATGTATATTGTTCTGAATTTTGGGTTTCATGGGAGGCCTTAATTATTTCCTAATTGTTTTAATCTGTGTAATTTAAAGGTCAGGAAGATTATAGCAGGTTGAGGCCACTGAGTTACAGAGGTGCTGACACATTTGTATTGGCTTTCTCTTTAATCAGTAGGGCCAGCTATGAAAATGTCCTCAAGAAGGTGGGATACTTTCATTAATTAAAATCCTGACGATTGTTCTTTTAGCCTTTATAGCATATCTGCCAGAGTATTGGACAAGGCATAACAGTATGATTTACAAAATTTCAAATAATTTTCTTTTTATGTTGTCAAGTACTATGTATCAAGCCACATTTCTTAATCAGTTGGCCTAATAATTATATATGACATTCTGTTTGATTTTCATGTCAGTGGATGCCTGAACTTCGTCGCTTTGCGCCTAATGTTCCAGTTGTGCTTGTTGGAACGAAGTTAGGTATGCTATGAACTGTTTCGGTTACAATCTAATGTATCATAATGCTTGTTTAGGTTTCAAGTAGTTGGATATTTCCTTGATGCATAACTTCTGGAACTTTTTATCCTCTTTTCAACTACAGATCTCCGTGAAGACAGAGGATATCTAGTAGATCATATAGGATCTAACGTCATTACAACGGCCCAGGTGAGAATTGTTTTTTTATTTTTTTCTCTATCAAGTAATCGAATTTGATATATCAGCTAATCTGCATTCAATATATAGGGGGAGGAGCTGAGGAAACAAATCGGTGCAGCAGCTTATATAGAATGCAGCTCGAAGACTCAGCAGGTGAGTTATGTGTGACTTGATGATTGCCTACATGAAAATGTGCATTCAGGATATTTTTGGAAAATCATATATTGACAAGATTTTATCATAGCAATAACTAATTTACTGAAGTTGTTGCCAGAATGTGAAAGCTGTTTTCGATACTGCAATAAAGGTGGTGATTCAACCTCCTAGAAGGAAGGAAATTCCAAGGAAGAAGAGACATAGGAGCACTGGTTGCTCAATTGTGTGAGTGCTGCTAATCTATTTGCATTCTTTATGACTTTGTGCTTGTTTTGGATACATTGCAGAAGAATCATAGCAAGTTATGAATGTGAATTGAGGGACTAACTCAAAAGGCGTAAGGAAGCATCATTTACCATATTCATCCAAGAAAAATAGCTTACAAAATGTTTATCTTCGCTGTGTTTGCATAAATTTTGACTGCATTTCAAAGTTGCATGACCTAACTTATCATGTTGCAATTGGATATAAACAATTTTTCTTTAGTAACATTTTTTTTTCATATTTACTTTCACTTTTCATACTTCTCATCTTTTCTAGTTAACTTTAACTTTTCCAGCTGAAATAGGGGCATTTCATACTAAACGAGCCCTTGCCTAACTGTTGTTATTGTTAACCTTACATCATGAGAGAATATAAACAACTTTTCTTTAGTAACATTTTTTTTTCATATTTACTTCAACTTTTCATACTTTTGTAATTATTTCCAAATGTACCGATCTTTCTAAGGTCTAGTTTCAATTTCTTTGTACAGCAGGGGTATAGTCTGTGGAGGCTGTGCAGCTTAGCAAATGTTGACATTGTAATTCATACTCACCTTTGGCAAAGTGCTTTTCGTTCTCAACTTATGCTGCTGGATCTCTAACATGACAACTTCTCCCCGTGTCTTTGTATTCGCGTATTAATTTCTTCATTCAGGGTGTACGTACCAATGTGGTTTTGATGCAGTTATTTTTCCTACAACCTGACCAGTGAATGGCTGGGAGAATCGATCATTCTCTCCAGCCTTGTAACGCTATCGTTTGACTTCTAATGTGTTGCAATGATGTGATTACTTACATATTTGAATGATATTTCCTTGCCTTTGTCTATTTTGGTCTCTATTGTTTTTCTGTGACATCATTAAGAACCCAATTTTGCTCGATTCTTTGTTAAAAATATGTAGTGGACTACTACACTAACGGCATGTTTGGTATATTAGACTCGGGAATCATTGAAAATCCACTCTCATTTACGCGGGACTAGGTAGAATGTATAAATTTTAACATAATTTTGTTCAATGAGTTATTATCATATTTTTCAATAAATTAAAATGCATTCCAAGTTTTTAGAGTAGTGTGACAATTACTTGATTGTCATATAGATGTTGATGGGTAAGCACTGATTACGAATAGTATTATTTTTCATTCACTTTTTGTTTTCCATTTTTGAGTTATGATTGAAATATTTGGTTAATAAAATTTTACTAAGCTTATATTTGGATCGTGTTTATAAATTATTTAAAACACTTAAAAGTTATTTTTTATTCACACATTTTGAATGATCTACAAGTATTAAGTACTTATTTAATGAAGAAAAAGGTTGTGTCAATTATAATATATTTGGTAAGTGTTTATAAATCGATAGAAATAAATAGTGAATTTGTTGTATTTGTGAGTTTTAAGAAATATGTCGATAATTTTTTATTTTTATTTTTAGCGAGTATTTATAAACATGTATAAAATTGATGAACTTTGTCAAATGTTTAATTAGGTCTTGTTTGTTTGTTGTGTTGTGTTGTATTGTGTTTGTTCAGAACAATTATACTATATGTACATCATTTTTTACGTTATTGTTTATATTGTGTCATGTGGAAACAAACTATTGGATTTTTTTTCTTTTTTTTGGGAAAAAAAAAAACATTTTTCTTGTCCAAAATTTTTTGATCCGCAATGGAAAAGTTGTACAAGTAGCATTATTGTTGTTCAAAATATGTACAAGTTCAATTGCATGGAGAACAAGAATAAGAAGCAAAGGCGTACAGTAAAAATCACACAGAATTGCGTTAGTAAATTGTATGAAATTTAGCATGTTTGATGATCATTATTTGTCAAAAACAAAGTTTTGAATAATGAATTTTTGGGAAATGTGTGGCTAAAAAATAAGAAAAAATTTTGAATTTATGTGTAGAATATTTTATTGCGTGAATTTGTGGTTAAAAATAAGTGTGTAGAATCAAGATTTTTGAAATAATGGTTGTCAAACAATGGCTTAGGGTGGGATCTCTCATTTTTATGGTGTGGTATTGGCTTCTTGATAGACTTTGATTCCCCCAACCAATTTTAAATACTGTAAAATTGGGTTAAATACAGTAATGGCCATCCAAATTTATACTTAATATAACCACGGCGATCTAATTTTATTTTATCTCACCGTTATCATACTACTTTATACTTAGTGTTACCATAACCATCCAATTTTATATAACATTTCATTGTGATCATTCAACTCTTTTCATCATTTTCACTAATTTTAAAATGTGTAAAATGGTAACTTTGTATTTTATATATAAAAATAAATTTTAAAATTTACATTGTTCTTTAAAAAATTATATATAACGTTACTTATATTATTATTTTAAAATTTATTTTATATATATAATACAAAGTTACCATTTTACCCTTTTTAAAATTAGTGAAAAATAATTGGGTGATCATGGTGAAACGTTATATGAAATTGAGTGGTCATAGAATATAAATATAGTTTGGTGGTCATGGTAAAACAAAATCAAATTGGAGGATAACATTAAGTGGAAAGTTGGGTGGCCAATGATAAATTTATTAACCCCTGTAAAATTGGATCCCAAGTGACGATTTTTTCACTTATAGTGAAAAAGTCTTTTTTTAAATGAATAAACAAAAACGAAAAACTAAAATGACTGTTTTCCATTTTTCCCCCTTAACATATAGGGTAATGCTACATGTATACACACACTTTTACACAATCTTTTACACCTCTCTCACATGGAGGGGGGTCCACGATTATTTTATTATGTGTGGGCCCCCTTTCATGTGAGAGAGGTGTAAAAGATTGTGTAAAAAATTGTGTACACTTAGCATTATTCTNTGTGGTTGAAAATGAGTAGAAGAATGAGAATGAAAACTTTAATGTGTAACAGAGACATATATATACTTTGATATTTTTATTCTTTTCACATCTAGCTCTTGTTTGGTGGGGATTAAAATAAGATTTTTAGAAAATTTTGATAAAAGTTGATGAAATGTGTGATTGAAAAGTTTGGGATTCCATAAAATATGTGGTTAAAATTAATTGTTGATTTAGATTTAGATTAAAATTTATATTTTAATCAGTACCAAACGGGGCCTGGTTTATAGTGAGAGACTAATAGTCGTTTCCAAAGAAAATTAACAGGTAAAATAACAAATTCCATCCTATGGGAATCCAATCTCACAAGATTGAATAGATTGGGTAGGCAAAACCTCGTTTTCGAGAATTGATTCCACATCTACACTTTATAAAAGATTGAGGAGCTCACCCCTTCTTTTCCCAGCAGTTATCGAAAAAAACAACTCTGTTTGGGCTCCATTTTAGAAAAAAATGTATTTTTCTTTCTTATTTTCAACAACAGATTTTTCAATAAAATTATATTACACTTAAATTTAAAAAAATTCTTTTTTTTTTAACCACATTTTTCAAAATATCGATATTTCAAAATACATATTCTCCAAATTTTATTTTTAATGGAGTCCAAATCGGGAACTGTGGAATCAATTCTTTTTTAGGATATGGCGAAGAAACAAAGGGGTATAGGGGTTGTGGGTTGAAGAACTGAATCGGTTCAAAGTAATAGTTAGAGTAAATGTAGTTTTCAATGAAAATGTCATGCCTCGGTTGAGTACTACTTCCTCTAACTTTGAAGTTGATAAAATAAGTAAAGAAACTGAATTAGAACTTGAGAATTTAAGGCCCTGTTTGATTCTCACTATTATAGAATGAAAATGAAAAATATAGCCGTTATTGAACTTCATACAAAATATACAAATTCAAAATTGATGGCTTGATGTGATGGATAACGGTCATATTTTTCATTTTATGGATGAAAAATGAGGAACAAACGAGAGCAAATGAAATTGAGGGGGTGTTTGATGGATATTATTGAGAAAATAACGTATTTTAAATAGTGATATGATGAGAAATATGTGGTTAAAAAGTAAGGAAAAATTATCGATGTGATAGAAAATATTATTTTATCGAAAAATTTGTGGTTGAAAATGAATTTTGAAAGAATATGTACAAAACAGGACCCGATTAGGGAATTCAGATTGAGGTGGAGCCACCTCAAATTGAAGGGGAACCGAGTCAATCTCGATATGAAGATTCCTAAGATCAAACTAATCATAATTTATTAGTTGATTACTAGCTGATAGGTGATAGGGGAAGAAGGCACAGGTTTCCCTCATCTAGAATAAATAATGATGACTTTGTAGCATTTTTCTCAACTCAAGATTTTGAAAGTATAGAACCAAGTACAAATGAAGAAGCTATAAGTTGTCGAGTAGCAACACTTTGGCTTGTTGCAGTGCAAGATAAATGACTTCTTTAATGAAAAATAAAACTTGAATTTTGGTTAATTCAAAAATCAGAAGGTAGTAAACTGTAAATTGATGTACGAAGTAAAAGAGAGATAACCAAATGGCGAAAGTAGGAGGAATAAAGCCAAATCAGTATCTAAATGGTTTACCCAAAAGGAGCGTATAGACTATAATAAAGTTCTCTCACTAGTAGCAAATTATACATTTGTTGCAATATTACTTACCTTAGCTACATATTTTGATTGGAAATTAGATCAACTAGATGTAAAAACAACGTTCCTAAATGGAGAATTAGACGAAACCATTTACGTGAACTAGCCCAAAGGATTTAAAAATAAATCAAAACCTAATGGTGCGTTTGGTTTGTTGTGTTCAAGCTGTTTTCAGTTTTACAAAATACTGAAAACATGTTTTATCTGGTATTTCTGAAAATATATTTTCGAAAACAATGATAAACTTCTAACACAAAATTCAAAACGCATTTTCCATGTTTTGAGTGTTTTCAGTAAAAATTCTAAAAACACTCAAAACATGGAAAACAAGCGTTTAAATAAAATTTTATTTTAATAGAATTTTAAAAATTAAAAATAAAATATAAATTCTAATAGATAAAAAAATAAAATTGATAAATTTTAAAATATAAAAATTTAATTTAATTTTAAAAAAATAAAAAAAGCTCTTAACGATTATTTACATAAGCATTCTCAAAAAGCCTTTAAATAAATACAGATGAAAAATTCTCAATCCATGATATTAATTTTAATTTTTATATTTTAACTCAATTTATTATTTGTTTTATTTTATTTTAATTTTGTAGTGAGAAAAAATATTGTAAAATTCACCACTTTAAAATGTATATATTACTTGATAATATATTATCATAAAATTGCTTTATTTTTTACTAATAAACAAATTTGTTGGAACAAAATGTCATAAAATAATTTTTCAAAATATCAAACCAAATGTGTTTTTTTTAGTATTTTGTTTTGAGAAATAATTTTTCAAAATGACAAATCAAATACATTAAACAAGCCCTCAAAACAGAAAAATTGAAAATGAATTTAAAACTGAAACACAAATCAAACGGGCCCTAAAAAGTTTGTTTATTAAAAAATGCCTCGAGCTTTTTTTGCCCGAATCTTGTCAAGTAAAAGCTCGGCTGACAAATTTCGGCTCAGCTCGGCTCAAGCTTCCCGAGCCGACAACCAAATTTGCATCTGTACTTATATCCAAAGCTTGGGCTTTGAAAAGAGTTGATTTGACTAATGTTTGTCCACTGTTTGAGCTCATTTTTGGGGCAAATGTGTTTAGAATAGTAATTTTTAGAGAATGTGTGTTAAAAAATAGAAAAAAAATTTTATCTTACGCGTAAAATTATTTTGTAAGAGAAAGTGTGATTGAAAATGAATTTTGATAAAATGAGTTTTGAGAAAAAGGAAAAAAAGGGGTTCAAACATGTGCATGGTGTAACTATTAGTTTATCGACTTAGTTGCAACTTGGTCTCCAAAATACATTTGACGGCTACATGTTCACTTATCAATTTTAGGAAAAAGCCATATGTACAAGCTTTTCCTTCACAGATGTTTCACAAGTGATGCGTTGGCAGCACCTGATTGGATTTTTTTTTTTTAACTTCCAATAGGCAGAATCTGTTATAGAAAACCAAGAAAAACTAAAGATGATGAATATTATTGAGGAAAAAATATATTTTAAGAGCTTGTTTGGAAGGAATTAAAATCAAATTAAAATTGAAAATATAGTCGTTATTGGGTCCCACTGTTATAATAAAAGTCAACAATAACGACTAATTTTTCAATTATAATCCCATTTTAATCTTTACCAAACACACTCTAAATAGTAATATGTTGGGAAATATGTGGTTAAAAAATAAGAAAACGTTATTGATATGATGAAAAATATTATTTTATTAATAAATGTGTTTTTGAAAATAAATTTTAAAAAAATGTATTTCGAAAAAAATGTGTCTTAAACGAGGCTAACACTAATTTTCCGTTTAAGATCTTTTCACAAAATTGAAAATTCCTCAATTCGCTTCCCATTTAGCCGCAAGTCAACGGCGTCCTTCAATGTGGACAGAATCTTACTATTCTCTTACAAATATTCACCTACTCACGACCCTAGTATACCACTCCTAACTCTCCAGTCATCTAACAATAATTCATGACGTGGCAGGTTAGAGTTAAGTTCCACGTTGGGAATTGACAACACTGGACAATTCTTCACCACATGCTACAATTGTCCTCGAAAATCAGACGCCAATGATCCAGCGGCCCAAAATCCACCTTCGTCGCTTCTATGAATTTTACCCGTTGGATTCAATATTCTTGGTGGAAACCGTACGATGAGATTATCAGCTAAATCTGACCGTCCAAAATTTGTAAAATTGAATTTCAAAAGCTAAGCCAGAGAGGGAGGAGCTACTCAAAGCCTCCAACCCTTCTCTTTCGAAAATCCCTCCTCCTCCTCCTCTTTTTTTCTTACACAAATTATTCGTATCTGTTTTTGTATTTATATACGTAGTTCTATACGTAAATACGGATCAAGAGGCTTCTCGATTGAGGTTAATTAGTGAGGAATTTTACAGCCTGACATATTTTTTGGATTTTTGTTTGAATCTGATCTGTGTAAAAAGAGACCAGTATTTAATTCCAAATTTTTTCCCTTTTTAGATTTTGAATTTCGAAATTTGTTCAATTTTGGGTGTTCCAGTGAGAACAGGTGTATAATTCGGGTTGACTGATACGAAAAATTGCGTTATATTTGTTCCATTTTTTTAATGGAAGAAACTGAGGGAGGGGATTTCCTTCCAAAAGGGCCGCAGCAATCAGAGGCCACTCCACCAGCTGCAGTGGATTTTCCGGTGAGGAATCCGGCGAGACAACTGGATTTTACGGGGCTCGGGGATGGCGCATCATCGTCCGTGGGATTGGCTTTGCTGGAGGTATCTCAACCGCAGCAATCACAGACGCCGAGCCATCTTATCCAGCAGCAGCAGCAGCAGCAGTTAGTGAAGCCGAAAAATCAGCCGCCAAAGCCTCCGCCGCTGCCACAGATGCCATTTTTAACAATGCAGCAAGCTCCGCAACCAGCTGTATCTTCCCCTCATCCTTCCGTTCGACCTGCTGTGTGAGTCTTTTCTACTCCGAATCTAAATTTGTTGAACAATTTTGATGTTTTGGAGAAAAGTGATTTATATTCAGCTAAAGTTTAGAAATTTATAAAAATCTGTGGGCTTGTTTGACAGTTATTTCAGTTCAGTTACAAAGTTTTGATCTTTTCATTTTGAACGTTCATAATTTTCAGAACGATCTCAGAATTTGTTCTTTATATAATGAGCTCCCCAGATAGACAATTTTGTCATTTATTGGTTTATATAAATTCGAAAGATAAATTGGTTAGACTGACCGTTAATTCTTTATTCAAAATTCGTTCTGGCCCTTCGAAATCTAATTTAGCTTGTTAAGTTAGAAACTTTTGTGGAAGTCTTTATGTCTTTGACTCATTCGATTATCACTCAGCTATGAGTAATTTGTGCGTTACATCACTATAAAAGTGGATGCTAATGCCTATTCTCTTGTTCCCATGTCATATTTTGGGTTACCTCACTAAGTAATTCTGTAAATACTTTTTATGTCTTATCTCTGATTTTGGCATAGTTTTGTTTATGGTGCTCATATAACAAATTATCTGCTCATGTGCATGAGAAGATTCCCATGTATTTTCTTGCCTTAGTCTGCTTGCCACATATTCTTGGGTTAATAACATTTTCAATCATTTGGATTTATTGCATACTTGTATTTTTCATTGCATCATAGCTCATGAAGATTCAGAATTACATCCTAGCAGATTCTTCTGTTCCATTCTTGTTTTTTGAAGCCTAATCATATGAAGATGAACATTTAAATTAATTCCGGAATGGTTCACCGTCTTCGTTCTTTTACTTTACATAGCATTAAATAGTGAAAAGGATAAGCATTTGATACCTTTCATTGACTGTCTACTGATCTCCACTTGTGCCTATATTATGCACGCAGCATATATAATTGATGTACCAAGACAGTTCTCTTGCTATTTTGTTATAATTCATACTCTTCATTCCTTCAGGAAACCTGAATCCCCAAGGGCACGGCCGAGGCAAAATCTAGCTGAAGTAAACGATGGTACTCCAAAGAAGCAAAAGCAGTGTAACTGCAAACACTCACGGTGTTTAAAGTTGTAAGTAGCTGTCACATTTTATGTATTTTGTGGTTGTCAAAGCCTGACTCAAAATATGTTGATTCCTTCACATTCTTGCCATGATATTGATGTAATGAGTACTACAGCTTGAGCAACAGCCAATAGGGTAGTAAAGGTGGGGAAGTGAAGGATTCAGTATGAGTGCTACAGCTTAAGCAACAGCCGATAGGGTAGTCTATACTCTATGTGCCAGCTGGTGCATCCATTGCCTTAACAATGTCAAAATCAAGGACACAGAACAGACTTGTTGCTTTCACATTTGAGCTTTAGCCATATATTAGTGGTCTTGACAGGAATTGGCCAATATTTTGTAATTAAACTATTGGACTAGATAACTGATATAATTCTTTGGAGATAATTCAAATTCTGGTCTTTCAAGTTCCAGCTATCTGTAATCGATGCCGATAACCTATGATGCACCGACACGGATGCGTGTGTATGATGCAATGCGTGTGAGATCCGTCGAAACATAATTTTCAAAAAACTACTAACACGACATGACGCCGATACGTTAATTAAATTCTTTAAAAAATTCTTCATTTATATAGTATAAATTTAGTTTTATATTGGTTATTAATTTTTCTTGTTTAGACCTTTTAAATATGAGTACCTATTTGTTATTAACTAATAACTTTGAGTTAAAAATGTATAATATGTTTAATAAAAAAAGAAAATATTTATAGTAGAGTGTCGAGGACTGTCAATATCGACACATGTCGGACACGGACACGAACACGTTACCCTAGTTGAAGTATCTGTGCTACAGAGCTGATGGCTGTTTCCTCTCTCTCGCATGTGTGTTTGAGGATATCGTGAATCTAGCCACAGGTACTTTAGGTGATGACTCAGAATAACTGCAATTATTGATGGATTTGTTTAGAGATCTTAACTGATGTTTATAGCATATAGAAAGACCATCACTCATTGGATTGCTGTACTGATATATTTACTTGATGCCAAATAATCTCTTTCCTTTTTAGCAACATTTGTATTGGGAAATAATCTTTTATAAGATAACTATGGCACTTATTGGGTATCAAATATCAAAAATACTTAGTTGTATGTTCATTTATTAACCAATATCTAAATTATGGTGGCAAGTAGGCAATAAAAAAAATTATTTATACATTCTTGGAGATTTTTGTTAACCCTGACAATTGACAAATACCTTTTGGGTTTTTGATATATCACGGTGTACATGGGTTGCAACTGATAATTACCTTGGTTGTTGACAGTTTTTTATTTTGATGTCTCACAAATTTATTGTGTGTGTGTGTGTGTGTGAACTGTGCACACCTTTTGGGTTTCTCATGCACCTCATTGTACATCTTCTGAATGCGGACAGTCCAATGGTTTGAATTCTCCTACTATTAAGCATGTGTGCATTAACTGCAAACTGTTTTTCTATGTGGGTTTTTTTATGATGCATAATATTTTAATGGTCAGGTATTGCGAATGCTTTGCATCTGGCGTATATTGCGATGGATGCAACTGTGTGAATTGTCATAACAACATTGAAAATGACGATGCCAGACGAGAAGCAGTTGAAGCTACACTGGAGCGTAATCCACAGGCTTTCAGGCCAAAAATTGCAAGCAGTCCACATGGAGCTCGTGATTTTAGGGTACTGTCTAAACTTAAAATGGTTGGCTATACTATGATATAAATTTTAGTTACTTTATGGTGATTTGCTAGAGGACTTTTCTGTGCTTAGTATATTTCCTGAAATAAACTATTATGCTTTTATATCTGATACTTCTTTAGTAGATTTAGTGTTCTGTGCTTTTAAATTATCTGTAGGTAGGGATCCTTTTAATTTAATTTTTGACAGCAATTCTGATGTATATATCATATCTTCCTATGAAATATATTAATAAATTTTCTTCTCATCAAAGAGATAAGACGAGCATGGCGTTCATTTGACTTGGAAAAGTGTGTTGTAAATGCAGTCTGTAACACTTTAAAGCGATGCCTTTTGCGTCTCGTGTTACTGATGTTTCATACCCGAAATTTCGATCGTGTATTTTGGCATTGCAAAGAACAAAAATCAATGTGCATATTCTACTTAATGGATGTCACAGTATGCAGAGAGAACTTATTGTAGTCAATCCTAATTCATTGGCATAACTGGAATATTTATCATTGAGGTGAATAAGAAAAAACAACTATAGTTTGTACTTCCTGTTCATAAGTGGAATGCAATGATGGTGTGATAATTCCTAATCCCAGCATTTGATTAATATTGCTAGTTGATTGATCTACTTGCACTAGTATTTACATTACCCTCTTCCCTTACGAATACACCATTAGAAGACTAAGCCCTGTTTGGGCTCCATTATCCAAAAAATGCATTTTTCTCTCTCTTATTTTCAATCATACATTCTCCAAATATTACACGGCAAAAATGGGCGTACATCTTCATGTGCTCCACACAAGGAGGCTTGCCCGATTTGTGGTACAACAGTCAAGCTTACATATGTAACAACCACACAAATATAAGCTACTCCCAAAGAACTTACATAGACATGTGAAATCGGGTCGGTCTGGTTTGAACTGGCCGCTAGTCGAAACATGCACCTGGAGCCATTCCAACACCAGCTCATTCTAGTTACTGGTTTGGATTGAGCTCGGACCGTTGAAAAATTTCAATGGGACTGGAATGCATGCTGCACTAGTCCTGAAGCGGGACGGTCCGATCAATGTTGAATTGCATCGCTTTTTTTTTTAACCGTCTTTTCTAAATTAAATTACAAGAAAATAAAATCTTATAATTTCCCATTCCTTATTTTAGGGGATTCAAATATTCTAGGCAAGAATAAATTCCGCTTTGAAGAGTTTCATGGCAAAAATTTTCCTTGAAACTTCTAGGCATAAAACATGTAGTTTGGCTCTCTGTTAAAGGAGTCTTTTTTTTCTTATATATTTGTAAAATATTACATAGGCTCGTGCTTAACTGTCAGAACTAAATCCAAAGCCTCGATCAGCCTAGTTCGAGTTTGGGGTATTTTTTGGTGGCCTAGCGGTTTCAAGCTAGCTTGCTCGGTTTGACTTCTCTGAACTCACGCATGAGAACCCTAAACACAAAAGCGTCATACTCTAGAATCAATACAAAAGAGACAAAAAACAAAGAATATGATATACAAGATTTTTTGAGCAATGTGGTAAGATGGGCAAAGTTCGAATGAAAGCAAATGAAGCGTTTGACTCATTTATGGATACCTATTCCCATAAAAATCTTAGTTCACAGAACCTTTTAGTTGAACTTCTTTACATTGGTAGAATATGCCAGCTTCTATAAAGTTATTCAAGTATTGAAGTAACCATTTCAAATGTTCGCAGTCTTCCTTGTCTCGACATCAAAATAGGGAACCTTTTTCATGTAAATTCTTTTGTCTGAACTCTTATTTAGTTTAAATTTTTGCATAGGAAACTTGACGAAAATGGAACACACGTAGATTGGGCTCGGGCTAACAATTATTACTTCAAATTTATATGTTGTTTTATTTTTGTTATTTATTAATAGTTTAGGGGTTATTCTGCACATTAATAAATCTAGAGTTTAGGTTGTACTATTTTCTAATAAAAAAGAATTAGAACTTATTGTTTGGCCTCTTTTTTTGAAGTGATTAAAATTGAGAGTTCTCAATATTGTGTTGATTTTTGAATGTTTAATTTAGAGTCATTGACGAGAAATTCTTGGGAATATGAAGCATCAACGAGTCTGTGTCTTTATTTTGAGTTAATCTCACTTTTTGCTGCAGTAGTTTGGTATTAGAGCTCAGTTACGTCCTACAATTTAAATGGTAGAAACTATGTTACTTCATGAGGATGACAACTGGGATAACTAGGAACAATTATTTGCGTTGACGCAGTTAGTAGACATTGACGTAATAGTTGACCAGTTAATGGGTGACATCTACTATAGCCTTTCCACTTTTCAATCTTGAGCCGCGAAAGATTGTTGATTCAAACAAGGATTAGGCCTGCCCAATTTAACATTGAGATCAATCATTATTTTGAAGATTTTCTATACTTTGTTGATGATTGTTACAACTATAACGGATTTTGGCAAGTAGTATGTGAAGATCTTTCCTCGTATTGTTCCCTTTGCAAGCATATTATTCATGGGGAAGACGAATGTGTATCAAAGAATGTTAAACCATAACTTATTCTCTTGACAAAGGAAAAAAGATGTGTATCCCACGTGGTGGTGCAATAGTGTCTATTCCGTATCCAAAGCAAAACCTTATAAAATGATAAAGGACATTAATGTAAGGTAAAGAAGGCTGCATTTATTTAAGCAAGGGATGGAGATGGAATGAAAATCTAACTTCAGTTGGTTACCAATTGATTTACTAATTTGGCGTGAGATAAAGTTGGTACATATCTTGATAACAAGATAGGACCATCTTTCTTGCATGAACTAGGAGTTGGACATAAGCAAAGGATTAATGGCAATTTGGGATAATCAGGCAAATAACGTTTACTCTCGAGAAATAGTAGAAAAAAGGAAGGATTGTGAAGTAATAGAAGTTGGTAAAGATAATCGGGCTATAAATGGTGATTTACCGAAGACTCTTGCTGTTGAAAGGAAACTTACCTTCTAGTGTTGGAATGCCAGTATGTAAAATATGAAAAAGATATGGGTAAGTCTATTCTTGGAGAAGTGACAACTCGCAACAAGTGTATAACAAATTATGGATGCAAATGGGATTAAGGGTCACATTGCTGAAGCTAATTCCTTAAAATTATTTGAGATAGCAATGCTTGGTATTGGCATACACCGGATGGGTAATTAGTGGAGGATGATGGAAGGTTGGCTAATAAACATAGTAATAATTTTGCTTTTTAGAAGTGTTTAAATTTCATTCTAAGTAGCAGGTATCATAGAAGGTGTGGATAAAAAGTAGGTAGTAGTTGTGAGTCCTATGATGTGTTAATAAAAAGTATGTTTGATCAAAAGTGATTATGATTTGAACATATTCCATACAAACTTTTTGATTGAGCATGTAAAAACAATGAAAGTTGTTAAGAGGAGATTTATCGAGGGTACCCAACTAGGCTTGGAAGTTTATATTGCAATAGAATTTCAAGAAAAAATGATGTCATGCTTGGAATTTTGTATAAATGCTCAATGAGGGCCAATGTGAAAGACTTATTAATGGATAGTGGATTGTCATTACAAGGTGTTGGACGAGAATATGGTTAGCGATTTGAGAGTGAATCTTTGTCAATTTGAGGAAGATGGAACACAAATGGATTAGGCTCGAGTTCATGGTTACAACGTTTATTTAAAATATATTTCCTTTTTGTTTAGTAGTATAAGGTTTTTTGTTATTATTAATAGTTTAAGAGTTATTTATGATTTTAATAAACCTAGAGTTAGGGTTGTAGGGTTTTCTAGAGTTTAAGGTAGCTTCATTTGTATAGAATAAAATTTCTATTTCTCAATATTGTGTTAATTTTCGGTTTTGATTTAGATTCAACAAATCATTGGCCCCAAGTCTTAGTTCTTTATAAAATCAACGAGTATTTGGATTTAGAGCATGTTTGGTTAAGCTGACAAAACAAGTAATTTAACTTTTTGTTTGGGTAAAATGTACTTCTAAGTAAATTTATGTTTGGCAAACGAATTATTTTTCAAGTAAAATAAATGTGGCAAATGACCAAAAAATCCATATACTATTTTAATGATTTGTTTGTATTGTAAAGTTGAGGGTACATAGATCATTTACTTGGTCAAACTTTTAAAAATTACCTTCGTTTTTGGTAAGTAACCTCGTGGCTAGCTTTTAAAAAGTCTTTATATTTTTGCCAAAACCTAGTGAAATGAAGTAGCTTGTTTTCTAGCAAACATCCTCTTAAAAGTAACTTTAACCGGCTTTATGCTTAGCCAAACATCATCTTATTCTGTGCTATGCTTGCTTTATCAAAACCTTTTAAGTATCTTTTTAATATAACTTTTTTGACTCAAGAACGCACTATGCTATTCTTTGTTCCTTTTAATTCCGTCCCTATTATCGTTATACTTTATAGCCTAACAAAAGTCATTAAATTTGGCCTTAAATGTCCTTTTTGTCTTTTGAATGTCTCCTACGTTTTTCCCAACCATGGGCGATACATCTACATATAGTAGTAGATATGTAGCTTCCCAATATTCAGTGAGAACATGCTGCTATCATAAATTACTTCCCTTGAAGCCAATCTTTAGTGCAAAGAATTCAAACGTTTTGTATCATTGCCTTGATGATTACTTCAATCTATACAATGATGTCCTAAGATGATACCCTAAATCCCGATTTCATTCTTCTTTAAATCCCTTTGTATGATTCATCTAAGTCGTATTTAACCTCAGAACAGTTTTAGGATTTTTTTATTTTATTATAAAGTTATCTGCCAATGGAAGACTATGGATGTCAATCCAGCTTGGGCTGACCGTGACTCGGCCCGTAAAAAAGCCCAAGCCATCTCAGCTCGGGCCGTGCCTCAATTCCCAACAAATGCCTGAGCCTAAGTCGGTCCATGTAGCTCGGCGAGCCAGATGGGCCAGCCCAAGCAGCAGGCTTAAATGGCCCGTGACATGGGCCTGTAGCTGCATGAGCTTCAGGTTATTGCGCTGCCTAGCTGCCTGCTTTAGGCAACACAGCAGTTGCATGAATGAAAAAAAAATAAACCCGAGTCGGTTTGGCTCGATAAGGACCGAGCGTAAAGCCCGAGTCAAGCCTCGATTTTTGGTCTGAGCTTTGGCTCGACTCAACTCGGGCTAAAAGAGCCCGAGCCACAAACTTCGGCTCACGAGCCGGCTCGGCTTGTTTACATCCCTATGAAATATGCCATACACACTTTGACAGAAGCATAAATGATTGGAAGCTCGAGTTGAAACTAGTTTTCTGATGATATCGACTATAATTTATAAAAGATGTTTAAGTTAGAACAAGTCAAGTATCTTTCTATGTGGATATGCTTCTTGTAATTGGGCCTAATTTTTTATATTTATTTTAGCATTCTATATGTGTCATATTCTCGAGGTTTATACTAATTTAGTATTGACACTCATGTTTTGACAAACAATTTTTGTCCATGTATTTCTGGGATTTTGAGCAATAAAGAATGTCGAATGAATGGAGAAATAGTGATATATTAGAGATTATACAATCTACCAAGGTGTTAGGCTTATGAGTCATAATAAAAATTTATGAAGGTGGTGATTAAGCATATTTTAAAGTGTAATTTAAAAGTTTCAAAGAATTAGTTCATGTACTTCGGAGATTGCTAGATAAAGAAGTAAAATTCCGTACGATCTTGTTATATTGATCTAGGAAAATTATTGAATAATGCTACTTGTATATAATGGAGTTACTTAATAGTTTACATACAATTGAGGTGTCAAAGTGGAGGTCTTTTTTTTATTTGGTTGAAAAAATGTTGACCCAGTCATATCTGACCATATCATTTGGATGTACATCATTATGTAAACAATTATATATATGTAGTACAACCGAAAATTATATGGCAGATGAGTTCGACTCATGAACAATTAGCAAGTGAAGGATTGATCATTTTGCTTCAATACTGTTGTGAGACTGGTACTTGGCGCTCACGAGTAGGTTGTTCAGCTGTTCTCGAATTTAGAAACTCGTCCGCTGCCCTGTGAACATCTTTTCGGCAACCGTTAAAGCTCTTGGTCTCAAAACGGCCGGCTTTGGTTTAGCTCTTGGGGCCACCTTGGATCCATGTGGGGGTGGTTATCTCATCAGTGAGCTAGACACGAGATAACTCTCTATAAGGAACTAGTCAAAATAGACCCGTAACTTCGGGAGGGATACCCCTTCACAAAGGGGGTCATAGTGACCACACCCTGGCGACAGATTACCAAAAATACGGGTCTCCGATTTCAGAGCCTATGGTGGATGTTAGAGGAAAAAAATAATTCTATTGGATATATAAATATTATTAAGGATGTGTATGATAGAGCAATGTTATTGTGTGATATCTAGTAGGGTAAGTAGTATATCTTATTATTATAGGTTTGCATCAAGGTTCCACATAGAATCTTTATCTTTTGCTTTAGTTGTGGAAAATTTTACTAGGTATATCCAAGATGAGTTCTTTAGTATGTCATTAACTGATGTTATAGTTTCAGTCAACTAGACTATGAGGGTGATAAATCGTATGTTAGAAATTTGAAAAAGCATTTTGAAATATAAAGGCTTTTGTTTAAGGTTTACTAAAATGAAAGACAGGTAATATTCTTTTTGTTGTCGTAGATAATACGGATGATAATTAAGTTGTGAAACAAAGGATTATGTTGTTCAAAAGAGTGATTATATAGGTACTAAGGTTGAATTGTTCGTAATAAGACTTAAACAGGATGTAATGCATGGGTTAAAATTTGATTGAATGAAATGGAGACCTAATAAATGGATTTTGCGAGATTGAAGTTACTTGTCAAGTTAATATCTCAGTTCTAGAAAGTGATTATTAGATCAACAATGTTTTATGCTATTGAGTGTTGGGACACATAACACAGAATGTCTATATAAGCACTTTGTATGGGAAAGGACGTTAAGATGGATATGTTGCTATACTTGAATCTATAATATAAGAAATGAGAAATATAATAACAAGAGGGGAAACCAGGTGAGCATGAATTAAAGGAAGGATGACTCAAAATGATCTCAGTAATATTTTTCTTCGACCAAGGAAGATCTTGTTCACAAGAGTGATGTGATCTCCATGGAGCATTTTAGAAGTGAGAGGTAGAACAAATCTTAAATGGTATGATGTGGAAACCAAACTTTTAATTTTTATTGGACCTTTTTGTAAAAGTAGAATTGCATAAAATAGATTCGCAAAAAAAAAAAGATTCATGTAGTTGATCCCAAGTTTATGGGGCGTAAATCGTTGCTGCTTGTGGAAAATGTGCCATTAGTGATTCGAAAACCATTTCCATGGAATTGATTGATATATTATGCCCCAGTTTGTTTTTCACTTTTCATCCATAAAAATGAAAAATATGGCCGTTATCCATCACATCAAGTCATCAATTTTGAATTTCTATCTCTTGTGTGGGGCCCAATAACGGCTATATTTTTCATTCTCATTCTACAATAATGAGAATCAAACGGGCCCGTATATTTGAACTTCAATGTCATTTTTCTGATAAACACCTGGGGGCCGTGTTTTAAGAAATCAACATTATTATTCATTTCAATGCATCCTAAACTTGCATTTTAATTTTTTTTGTTATATTTGGCAAGATCCAAACTGATTTGAAATATATGCAGGAGGAGACTGGGGAAGGTGTAGTCTTGGCAAAGCATAACAAAGGATGCCACTGCAAGAAATCAGGATGTCTCAAGAAGTATTGTGAGTGCTTCCAAGCAAATATTCTTTGTTCTGAAAACTGTAAATGCTTGGACTGCAAAAATTACGAGGGAAGTGAGGAGAGGCAGGCTCTGTTTCATGGAGATCATGCCCACAACATGGCATACATCCAGCAGGCAGCAAATGCTGCCATCACTGGTGCTATTGGATCCTCTGGATATGGATCTCCTCCCGTTAACAAGAAAAGAAAAGGTCAGGAACTCTTCTTTGGATCAACAGTTAAAGATCCCGTGCACAAGATCCGGCAATTTCAACAGGTAAATATAAATTATGTTGTTAAAAATTGATGTACTTGCTAGATTTGGTGGAAAATCATTTGACTTTTATCTGAAGAACACTTCCTTTCTATTTACAGGCAGACCAAGTAAAGGCTTCTTTACCTTCCTCTTCATTGCCATTGATTCCTGGTGCTTTTGCTGGTAATGCATTAACTTTGGGCCCTTCGAAATTTACCTACAGGTACAAATACTACCTTCCCTCTGAAAAGTCGTTCTTCAGTACTAGTTCAGAAAACTAACAAGTGCATTATGTCTGAAGATCTCTCCTAGCTGGCATCATTCAGCCTGAGGACTTGAAGGAACTTTGCTCAGTGTTGGTGGTGTACTCGGGAGAAGCTGCCAAGATGCTTGCAGGTACATATAGTTTTGTGAAGAATCCCAAGTTGCTCTAATCAATGGTATTATTTGAAATTATCTTGACATCTCAGTTCTTATTGTCTATAAGAGGCTTACTCTCCATGCTAGAAATGATGTTTGTAAGAAAAATTCCTTCACAATATTAACAAGAAGATGGAAGTTTCAGCGAATCGTTGTCAAATACACAAGTTAACACTGTAAAATAATACATTGAATGCATACACAGGTCCTGAGTTCAGGTCTTGGCACTATCCATTTATCAGGCCTTCAATAAATAATGAATCTGGCTACATGTGATGGGTTGGGTTGATTAAATTCAATATGTGGATATGTCCCTTCTCTCATAGCTTAGACTTTTAGATGAAGTGGTTCAATATATTACTTCCACAACAGAACAGTAATCCTTTGTTGTATTTCAAGCTTGTCAATGGATATAAATAAATTACTCCCTTTTTCAGTACATGAAAATGAGGTAAATAATTTTAATCCTTCCAGAGGAAAGAAAAGCAGCAGAAATACAGGCAGAGAACTCCAGTGAAACCTTGGCGGCTTCATCAGTGCAAGATCAGTGTCAATCCCGGAAGAATGCTGAAGCGGAAAAACCTTTGATTGATGATCTCTCAAGTGGCAACCAGGCTGAGACGAAAAACTCTGAGGAGTCTACGTCCAATGGAGCTGATGAATCAAAAGGAAGACCAATGTCTCCCAGTACATTAGCTCTAATGTGCGATGAACAAGCTACAATATTTACTCCTGCTGCCTCCCCTAATGAGCTATCAGGCCAGAGTAGTGTGACTACACAGTTGCTGAATAGGCAAGACCTGAGTGGAACCTATGCAGAGCAAGAAAGAATTGTTTTGACAAAATTCCGTGATTGCCTTAATAGGCTCATCACTTCAGGAGAAATAAAAGGCTAGTTTACGTTTCCTCTTCATTTTGCATTTGGTCCTATATATGTATTCTTATCATTCGTCATTTGCAAAATACTGACTCATTTGTTGTGTGTGCAGAAACAAAATATTCTTCGTTGGCACAAACAGAATCGTATCAGCAAAATGAGCCAACCAGCAATGGTGTGCGAACTGATATCAGGAGTCCACGACAACCAATCAGCAATGGTGTTGAAAAGTTGGTGTTCAACTTCAACCAGCCAGGACATATTCAATAGGTAATATTGCTGCCAATAATGACCCACACTCAAAAAAAATATCCGCCCCACCGCTCCCTGTGAAAACGGGGTTGTAATTTAAAAAACTAAAGAGATGTAAAATGTTTAGGATGACATTTACACAGAAATATGCTGATCTCTGTAATCTTAGGCTGATCTTTGCTGCACTGGAAAATCTTATATAGAGCCCATTTTTAGCTAGGACTGAATAGAGTCTGATGCATTTTTATGTACTCACTGATACATTAATTTTAAATCAAAAGTTCATAAATTTTATTGCAAGTGTTTTTAGGTCCAAGAATTGAAATCCTGAGTCTTGTTGAATGCCTAAACCTTGATCCAAGAAATCAGTAGTTATCTAATTGACTCCTATGTCTGAAAAAAGATGAGGAAAAGTGCTTATATAATATTTACCATTAAAAAAATCAATAAAGTGATTATCGAATGCCATTATAACGTCTATTTAGACAGAAATCTTCAATTGGTACATACGAAACTGAAAGATTGAGGACCCACTAACTGTAAATTGAAGGCCATTTACTGTATTTCCAATAGATTAGGGACTTGAACTATAATTTTCTTGTAATCAATTTTAAAAATAATTATGGGCATAGTGTGCTACATATGCATGAAAGAACCTCTCCGGTTGCTTCGTACAAAGAATTAATGTTATCAACTTGTCATATGAATAATAAGAAATAGGATTAATCTAGATGTGCATCTTTCTTGACATATCTCTTATGTGGCACAATTTGGAAGTAATGCGAAAGATTGTTGGGAAAATCAAATGATATGGGGTGTCATGTTAAAGAATGGGGTAATTAGTACAAAATGTCTCTACCTTTCATTGTTATTGTGGAAAACGTCCATACCTTTCATTTTTTTGATATTTTCACTCTTATTTTCAGCTTTCATTGTTTAAAAGGTCATTTTTATTCATTTTCTTAATTAAAATTGTGAAATGACGAAAATATTATTTCCTTTAAATCAAACAAAAGAAAAAAGAAAAAAAACTCAATCCCAACTTTTTTGAAAAGCGCAAATGAGTCTCAAATAAATTATTAAAATGGTACATTTCACTATTATTGCGAAAAACATTTCCACCTTTTTTTTTTTTGGCATTTTCTCCCGTAATTATAATTTGATAGCGCAAACCATCATTTCTATCCATTTTCATCCAATTTTTCAAAAAAGAACTGTGAAATAATGAATATACCTTCATATTTAAATAAAAAAGATTATAATTCAAAGTAAAATATTATTTAATTACTAAATTCCGTAGAATTTACAATTTTATTTATTTTATACATTCACACTTTTGTTAATTGTTTAATGATCTATGAAAAGTTTGTCACACATACATAAAAGTAATTAAATAATATTTGACTTTAAATTATAATTTTTTTAATTTAAATAGGAGGGTATATTTGTCATCCCTCTATTTTTTATTTAAAAATTGGATGAAAATGGATAGAAATGATGGTTTGCGCTATCAAATTATAATTAATGGAGAAAAAGCCAAAAAAATAAAAGGTATGAATGTTTTTCGCAATAATAGTGAAAGGTAGGGACATTATGTGCTAGTTACCCTTTTAATAATTTATTTGGAACTCATTTACGTTTTTCAAAAAAGTTGGGACTATGTTTGTAATTAATTTTTTTTCTTTTTCCTTTTGTTTTATTTAAAAGGAAGAGTATTTTCATCATTTCACAATTTTTAATTGAGAAACTGGATAAAAAAGATCTTTTGCGCAATGAAATGTGAAAATGCCAAAAAATAAAAGGTATGAACGTTTTCCACAATAACAATGAAATGTGATGACGTTTTGTTTTAATTACCTTTAAAGAATATTAACAAAAATGTAAACATTGAAGTACATGTAACATGATTGAAGTTCGTTGTTGCTATTTCATTCCCTACTTGTTACTATTAATCAACACAATTGAGGGGGCGTTTGAGCCCCATTATTTTTTAATAATGTATTTTGAAATAGTAGTTAGATGGAGAATGTGTGGTTAAAAGAGAATGGATTTTTTTTTTGGCGTGTAATATTTTTATTTTTTTGATCCGTAAATTTAATTATATTGATCAAAACAATATACAAGTGCTCCGGGCATACCGAATGAATCAGCAATGCAGTTACATTGGTAGTACAAAAACTATGGGCATACCCAAATAATTAAAAACAAATACGATCGAAGCAAAGAGAATAGAAGTCAACCCATAGCAAGTGATTCATAACAAGTCAAAACATTAGGATACAAAGTAGACATGACTTTGTATACATGTGTTTTGATTTGTCGTACAAGCTCTCGACATGGGGAATAAGATTTTCAAACACCATTCTATTCATTGCCATCCAAATATAGTAGACGGAACTAGCTAATGCAATTCTTTTAACTTTGTTCTGCCATGAAGTGCCTCTTGACTCCTTTTTCATCAACTTCAATGTGATAGTGATGGTGGTCATAGCCCTAGTGATGCCCAGCCACGTCTTGATCTTTTCCCAAATACTCACGGAAAAGGGGCATTCAAAGAATAAGTGGTTGCACGTCTCCTCACATGAGTTACAAAAGCTACAACTCCTATTAATTACCACGTAATGTATCTTGTCTTTCGTAAGCAGCCTGGATTAGGCTCCCAACCGAAGTGTGAAAGCATGCTTTTGGTGTAATATAGTGTTTCCATACCTCCTTAGCCTAGCATCTAACAGTAGCTTTTGGCCTAAAAAATTCATAGGTTTTGGTCACACTGAATTCATCCCCATTAATACCCATGAGCTGGCCGAGAAACTGCCTAGAATGCTCTATCGTGTACTGGCCAAAACCTGCTAAGTGCATCTCTGATTTCCAACAGTTTTTTAAAGAGGGGGGAGTGATCCTTACGAGGTGAGATCTCCCAAATGCTTGCCCCCTTAAGGTAGACATTATCCACCCAACAAATCCACAATGTATCTTTCTTGTGGTGAAAAATATATTATAGAAAAGAAAATATTTTCATTATTTTGAGGAAAACAAAAATCTACCTCCCTTAAAGAAAATATTTTCCTTAAAAAAAAGGAAAATTAGACATATTTTTAAAAGTTGGAAAATATTTTCTATAGAAAAAAATAGCAATCAAATACTTTAAAGTAGGAATTTGGATAGAAAACTGACATTTTTCATGAAAAATAAATGCAATCAAACATACCCTAAATGTTTTTCAATTGTCATTGAACTCTAAAAGCTCTTTGAGTTGCTATTAAATTTTTCCAAATATTTTCCAAATGTCACCGAACTTTAAAAGCTCCTCGAATTGTCATTGGACTTATTAAAATATTTTCACATTTAGCTCTTCGTCACATCGTTTTAAAAGTTAATAGAATAGACATGGTAGATTGAATGACGGATGTAATAACAATTTGTTAATTCATTGAGTCGTTAACTTCTAAAACGACGAGTAACCGATGTTATCACATTTTAGTAAGTTTAATGATAACTTAAAAAATCTTCTATCAAATATATTTTCAAAATCATTTTTAGTATCAAATGAGCGGCGAAATTGGTGTACATTAAAATATAAATTGTATAATATTATTTAAGGAAATGAAAGGTTTTGAGTTACATTACATTTTAGGATTGAATTGAGTTAGTGGTCAATATGTGAAATAATGGTCATTATTGTGGATAGTAGACATTATTGTAACGAATGTGGACTATAATTGTGGGTCAACAAACAAGTTTGACATGAAGGATTGGAATTTAATTTTTTATTAAATTCTATTATTTCTCTAACACCTTTAAATACCATTTATTATCTATTAATCTTTACACACGTCACAATTTCATATTTTCTCCTTAAAAGTTAGAATATATTGGTCAAGAAAAGGATGTCCATAGAGTGGAGTTATACGTTTATTCTATAATGCAAAAATAATTTAATTAAGATCCTTTTGACATGATTTTTTAAAAGTCAAAAGTTATTTCTAAAATTAAGACATTTCTTTTGAATATGATTGGATAATTTCATGAAAATGATTTGTTTGACAGAAGAGTTTCAAGAAGAAGCTGATTTAAAATAATTTCTTAAAGAAACTACTTCTACAAGAAGCAAAAGCAAAGAAAAAAGTAAAAACATATATTCTATTGAGCGGACCCTTAAACAGCTCATATTGATATGACAAATCATGTAAATAACTATTTCAATTATAATTGAAGACTTCTATTATCGTATAGGGCTTACTTTCTTACAAAAGTAAGACTCGAGCCTCACCCTAATCGGTTACTTTTTTCAGTAGAAGATGAAACTATGAATTTTTTCTTCTTTTAAGTGAATAATAAGTTAGTTATCTAATTTTGTATAGCTAAGAGGTTTGTAATAAGTAAATTTACAATTTTTTAAGGTTTATCCCAAACACGGTCTATATGTTGTACAGGGAGAGGGAGGGAGAGAGAGAGTTGCGTGAAAAACTGAAATCTGTTAGCCCGCCCTGTAGAAACAAAGATTAGTGCTTATAGATAAAGAGGTCATATGGGGGACGAGAAATCGGGGATGATGGGGGCGGTAATGGGGAACAGCAGCAGAGAAAGAGATCGAGAGCTTCTCATACCGGTCGCTGACTCTGTTGACCACGATGATGACGCCTCCTCCTCCTCCAAGCCTTCCCCTTCCGCTTCCTCTTCTCACCTTCACTCTGGTCGCGAGGTATTTATTGTTCTTTATATCTTTGTTTTCTGGGTAATGAACAAATGAATTGCTCCCGTTGATTGTTCTGTGTGGATTTTAGGGCGATTGATGGCTTATTTCTGAGATGGTTAATCGTTGTGTCTTTTGCCGATTGCTTAACCTAATTTTGGACATAAACTTTTCCGGGGAGGGGGTATTGGGGGCACGGGACAAAAAATGGCGAGATTGTAGAATAGGATATGTTAAGGAAATTTGGTGTCCGATGGGAGTATTTTGTTAACCCTGCAAAGGAGTGCTTGGAAATTTGAGTTCTTTTCTATCTTTAAGAATTTCGTGTTCCCTGTGTAATTTTATATATGACGTGCTTAACTTCTGTTTGATCAAATGATAAAGCAAAAGAGCACTACTGCCTCAAAATTGGTAGTGGGACATGCTAATTCTGTGTTTGAATCATTTAACTCGACTTATTCTAGGTAGAATATTTTTTGGCAGTTTGCCACCATGATCGTTTTTCCAGCCCATCCTGACTTGCAGCACTTTTGGGGGACTTGAGAATGGTTTTCTTAGCCCTATAACTGTTGTTTGTTAATCTTTGTATCATTCAGTATCCTTCAATGATCACTTTCCTTGACTGGTGAAGTGCGACTCTCATTTTTACAAATTATGGATTTCTCTGTGTTTGCATGCGCTGCATACAAGCATTTACATTCTAATTTTTTGTTTGTGTGAAAATTTTTCCCATGAAATTTGTGACGTGGCTATTAATTATTACTTATAACTGTAAGCTTTTATCTTGAATCCTTATTGGAACCACAATATGGAAATCTCGTCAATAGACTTAGCCTATTTGGCCTCCATTTCTTAAAACTCATTTTCTTCCGAAACTCATTTTCAACCATACATTTCATGGACCCACGACTTTTATCAACTTTTCTATTTAACATTTCACCAAATTTTATCAAACTTTACACTAAAAATTAATTTTTTTATCTAAACCAAACATCGGCTTCTTATAATTTCAGCTTCTGGTTGAGATTTTTATCTTGGAAAGTGCCTGTTAAAATCTACGCCTGTCTAGTAAATTTGCTATCATGGTTTCCACAAGCATTTGTAGGTTGGATTTCACTATTAAAAATTGTTGCCTATCCATTCACTGTCCTCTAAGAAGTACTAATTCAATGTTGCGTGCAGACCTTTTACAAAGTTGTTAGGAGCTGGGCCTCAAAAAAGTTCATGACTGGATGGTGAGCACTTGTAATTTCTGCTGAGTGTTATTTGGATTCTGAGTACAGTTTGTTATTTCAGCTATCAACTCATCTTGTTCACTAAATACTTACATTTTTAAATTCGACTGTCAGATTTCAGTGTCATCTGTCCAAATCTTTTAGGTTGTAGCTTGAAATGACTTAAGTGGTACTTCTTGGCCATCTTCATACGGTACAATGCATAAAAATTAGATTGGGGGATCAAAAAATTTCTGCATTCTTTTCATACCATTATGTTTCTATATTTTTTAGTGGACCAAAGAGTGGTGAGGGATGAGAGTTTGGACTAGTGCGATAATTTTTTTTAAAGTATAAAACATGTTCTAGTTTCTGAAATTGGAAACATAATGCATGAAGTTCATGTAATCACTTGAGACATATCAAATATGGACTAAACTTTGTAGAAATCATTTCCATGGAATGTAAGATTATATTTGAACTGATAGCTGAAGGATTGTAGTTTCATTGCCAAAGTATAGTCGTTGTAGAATTAGTCTTCAACTTCAGGCTTGACTATTTTACCCGTTCCATGGGTAGCAATGATGCCATCGAAATGCAGACGTACCATTTTCTGTTTATATTTGGAAAAACGAAAGGGCTGTGACTCATTTCACAAAGTTGATCAAGTTCCTATGCCTATAAAAGCCTCATCCTCCAAATAAATTTTGGAGGTTTTATGCTTTTGATTCTTTAATTATTTCCTGGCATTTGCTTGCCTTGATAGATGGACATATCATTTATAATTGAACTCTTTGCGTAGGTCTCTATTTTACATTCCAAATGAAATGTGATTGTGCAAGAAACTATATTTTCTTACACCACAGTCCTGTTTGTTTTCTGTTTGCTGTTATAGCGTTTGCTAACTCTATCCTTTTGCAGTGTCATCCTCTTCCCCATAGCAATCACTTTCTATGTAACATGGTGGTTTATTCATTTTGTTGATGGGTTCTTCTCTCCGATTTACGAGCAACTTGGAATTGAGATCTTCGGTAATCATGTTGCTCTTTTATTTAATACCAATAAGTTATAAGTGTGAGTGTGTTGTTTAGCATTATTTTTTCACTTCAATACCTCGTTGACTACTGTAGTTCATATATTTTCATTATCCTTTATTGTTTCAGTAGAATTAATAATTAAAACTAAGATATGGTCCACAGAAATTGACAGTGAGTATATTGTCGTTAACTTGAGTATTTTTCCCTTTTGCAATTGTAGGAACTTGTCAATATTTTTTAACAGAGCCTTTTGACTGATGCATATGATATTTATGATAAATATCTTGGCGAATATTTTTTATGTCCCTTGTATGTCTCTTTGCTGTTAATACTTGCTCTTATTTCCTTAATTAGAATTGGGTCTAGGTTTTTATGTCCCTTATTTGTCTCTTTGCTGTTAATACTTGCTCTTATTTCCTTAATTAGGTCTAAGTTTTGTTACTTCCATCACTTTCACTTTCACTTGCTTGGTTGGAGTGTTTGTGTTTTGCAATTGTAAGAACTTGGCAATATTTTTTAACAGTGCCTTTTGACTGATGTATATGATATTTATGATAAATATCTTGGCGAACATTTTTATTTCACTTGTATGTCTCTTTGCTGTTAATACTTGCTCTTATTTCCTTAATTAGGTCTAGGTTTTGTTACTTCCATCACTTTCATTTTCTTGGTTGGAGTGTTTATGTCATCATGGTTGGGGGCATCTGTGTTGAGCCTTGGAGAGTGGTTCATCAAGCGTATGCCATTTGTTCGTCATATTTACAATGCCTCCAAGCAGATTAGTGCTGCCATATCTCCAGGTGTGCTTTGTTTTAATTTACATTATGATATTCTTAAGGTTGAGTTTCCATTATGGAAGGATGACAAATTGTCCTTTTCAATATTATTGCAGATCAGAACACACAAGCTTTCAAGGAAGTGGCCATTATAAGGCATCCACGTATTGGGGAATATGCATTTGGGTTCATCACTTCATTTGTCACCCTCCAGGTGAACTGCTTCTTACATGTTTGATGTATCATCCTCTCATCTAGGATATTTGTCCCTGAAGTTTTTCTTCTCATGTTTGTATTGTAAATTTGTTCTTTCATGCTGTTACTGTTTTCTAGCTTGTAAACCTATACTGAATCAAATCTAGGAAGGTGTTACATTATGTTAAACCTCACCAATCAGGCTAGACAAATGGGGACTTCCAAATTTTAGAGTATAGTTGATCTTTCGTAAAATGTTGTTATTTTTATTTCCTTTTCTTTTTAGTAAAATTTTTTCCCTGTATTGTTAGCTTTGTATATAACTCTTTGTTTTGACATTGGAGGTAAAACATCCCCCTCGTATTAGTTCTTTATATTAATGTACTAGGGTAGGGAACAATGTCTACCCTATCATTTTGAAATGGACAAGTCATTTAAAAACTCTTATCTGTTTCACAATGGACTTCACCCAAAAGAAGAGAGAGAAGCTAAACCTCACTGAGAGAGATTCTTAAGCAAGAAAGATTCAGCAGAAGGGGCTTCAATATGGTGCTTGTAAGATAGCCCGAGTCTAAGTTGGCAGATCCATGATTACCAGTGTTAACCCCTTAAAGGTATCTGCTCAGGGCTATTCAACCAGATTTACTATCTTATGAAATAATGGTGCAAGTCTATTAAATCAATAGCGTAATTTGACCTTAACATGGCAAAATATCTTATGCATGGTGCGGGTGGGTTTTGTTCCTCCCCTTGTGTGCCAATATTGGAAAACAAAGCTTACACTAGGATCTCAGTGGACTGATCAAAAGGCAGGATAAGTTTTTGTGGATCAGCTGCCACTTTACGGGCAAATGATTGCGTGATATAAAATGAGCTGCTGATAGGTAGATTGGTTACCTGAAAGAAGTGGCTGACATTTATTTTGTTCATTTATTAGACAGGGGCATAGAATTCATGTGATGTTTCTAGTTCTCATGTATTTTTTTCTAAATTCAGAATTATTCAGGAGAGGAAGAGCTTTGCTGCGTTTATATCCCAACAAATCATCTTTACATAGGTGATGTATTCCTGGTGAACTCCAATGACGTTATTAGACCAAACTTGTCTGTACGGGAAGGAATTGGTAAGTGTTTTCATTTTTACATTTTTTACTATTGCGTGCACATTCACACACATATTGCTTGATTACTAATTGATGTCACGTGCCAACGTTTAACCTTGTTATATATGCTTTGTATACAGAAATTGTTGTGTCTGGTGGTATGTCAATGCCCCAGATACTTTCTACGTCGGATCCGAGAATTATTCAAGTGGATAGAAGTAGACCTGACAGAAGCTAAGATAAAAGACATGAGATGGAGCCAACTGCTTCTGCACTTCCTTTTTATACTGCAAATTTAGTCATTGACATGTGCACATGATTTGGCTCCAGTTGCAATCTAGTTCTATTTATATTTCAGTTTTCGATTATTGAAGAGTTAGATTGTACGGCCAATGTATAATATAGGGAAGTAGATTTGTGCATAACTATGAAATTATTTTCCTGGCTGGAAAAAAATAGCATGTTTAAGTTATATAACAGATTGAAAATTTGAAATATGAAAGGATTTGTTTTCTATTAGAGCAGCAACTAACTGTCTGAGAAATCCCTCCTGATAAAATGTAGTGTAGGGGACTTCTCCTTTCTTGAATTACTGCAGCGAGACTTTAATTTTAATTTATTAAATTTTGTGTTTTAGGAATTCTATTACAAAGATTTGCCGTTGGTATTGATATTTAAATTGAATGGATGCCAAAGCAAGTAATCAGAACTTGTTTATATTTGGTTCAAATTTAACCCTAAAAATGGTAATACTATTTAAACAACAAATTTTATTAATTGCACTACATTTATTTAAAATGAAAACCCCCAACTTGTTCACATATTTGCACCTATGCCTAATTTTATTTTCACATATTGATTAGTATATCTTGTTTATGATGGCTGCCATAACTTGTGCTTTTGGAGAGTTCTGAAATCTATTCAACGACAGAGAAGAAAGCAGGCATTTTCTTGAGATATGAAAATATTTGATGATTGCAAATCGACCTGTGCGACTCCAATATACCAACCAGAAGTGACATGGCCAGTGACAACCCTGAATTTCTGTTTCATTTTTTTTTAATATCAAGGGGATGATATTGTACTCATGAGAAGACTAAAAAGAGTTAAGCCTCTTGTACAAGAGAGATTGTCAGGGGATAGGTGACGTTTGTGAATTGGCTGGGATAAAGCTATTTTTTGTTCAAGGTCCAATGAATGCGCTCCACCTATCTCCTGTAATGCAATCGGGCATTTCTCACTGTACATATTATTAATTATGTACTCTTATGATTTGTAAGCTTGTTTAAAATAATTTTTTCTTGTCGAAAATAATCTATATGAGTCGGCACCTATGCTTTTTTTTTTTTTTTTTTTTTAATGAATTGAAAGAGTGGGTACAAATAATAAAATGTAAAAAGTTGTAAATTTAAACTTGAGTGGAAGACGAAAAACAAAGACGTTTTTTTGAGGATGTCCTCAATTGAGATTTTGATGAATTTAAAAGGTTACAAATTCTTACAAGAATCTCATTAAAAATGATAAAATTTTAAAGGAGTTTGTTATGTATATTTTTTAGTTTGAAATTCGTCCAAATATTTTAAAATCGCTTTATTAATGAAATCCCAATAAATCCATGAATTATTGAGGATGCCTAAATTTTAAATAATTTCATATAAATTTATTAAAATCTCAGTTGTGAACATCGGAATTTAAAATGATTTTTATATCCATCAAAATCTCAATTGTGGACACCCTCGGAGATCCTACCTTCTTTTTCAAGCCACACTAAGTTGGGATTTTCAATACACTGATGAGCAAAAACATGAGATCATCGCTACCCGACTCAACACTCCACAAGGCTTGCTCTAAAGACTAGAGATGTAAGTAATTCACTTTCTTTTCTAAAATGCAAATATACATAATATGTCAGGGAGTCCCGAAATCGTTAGACATAAAAGAGTAATTATAGTGTCCATTACAAGCCATGCATCCTTAAAACAGTTAAATAAATGAGATTTTATCAAAAGCCTGAAGCAAAATTAGATGCCCATTCGATCTTTCTTAGGGTATTTCTCTCCATTTGATCTCTTCCACCTCGATTTCACAAGCTTCAAGAATTCTGACTCCATTACATGTAATTAGTGTGTGTTTGTCTTCCATTATTGTAGAAGAAATTGAGTAATGAATAGTCTTTTTTGGAGAATGTGTGGTTGAAATTTAAAGTAACTTTATTAGTTTATATTTTATTGGGTGAATGTGTGATGTATAATCTTATTGTAGCAAACAATGTTGTGGAATAATGGGAGACAAACAGATCATAAAAAGACTGTGAACATTGACGACCTGACGTCCAAGAGACATAAGAAACGTTATTTCATGACATAAGATGAGATGAGCTCAAAATAGACATGCATGCTTGCACCTCTTGGCTTATGTATCATAATTTGCTCATAAATCCTACATTTTTCTTTGAGGAAAATTACTTCAATAATCGGGCATCCCCCACTTCATGCATTTAACAAATCTCAACTAGTGCACATAACTTTGCTTGAAACAATCACCAAGCTTGATTGATCATTTATTAAAGAATAAAAACTTCATGCATGTTAGATTAAATCTATAACATATCATTCATATAATGCTAGTAATCGTAAATTACTCACGAAAATAGAGGCATTGATAACTATTATAAAAGAAAAATAACTTAAGAAAATAGTGGATCGGGGGTATTTATATGCTCTCTATTACACTACATAAAAACGTGATGCCAGTATCTTTCGGAAAGGGGGTTCTAGTTGAAATTTCTTTTTCATTGCTTACTACTGCCCTTTGAATGGAGTGGAGAAATTTTTATTTTGTTGAGGAAACTCCACTCCCATCAGCCTTTTACCTCTTTGAGTCAATCTCTCCAAGTTCTTAATCCATCTTGACCTTCCCTTCCCAAAGGTTTTTGCTCAAATTCTTCTTCAAGAAGTGGAGAGGATTTTGGGAGAAAATTAAATGTAGAGCTTTTGTTTTCTCAAAGAGTGAAATGCTTTAGAGGGGTTTAGAAAGAGGCTTCGGGTATTTTGGTCAAATCAATCACATATTCATAAATATAAACTCGCTTGTATGAGCACTTCTGTAATAAACTAGTATGTAATTATACCATGTTTGGTTCGTTCTCCTTTGGTAATAAGTTGCTTATTAGAAATATCTCTTCTCGTGAGTGCATACATGTTACATACACATAAATATTAAGTAGACACACTTATCACTTATTCACTTAATTATTCATAAGTATGGACAACTTAAAAGGAATAAAATAGTGCACATGCACACACGTGTGTACTAACACGTGTATGTATATATGTATGTATATATGTGTGTGAATTTCTCAAACTTAAAAGTTGCTTGTCACTAACTTAAAATAATTAATTTATCTTGTAAAGAAAGTCATCCTTCTCATGTAGATAATTGAAATAATTCTCTACAGAGGGAACAAGAAAATATCATCTTTTCATCCATTGGGAAAGCTGTCTCACTGAGAAATATTTAATTAACAAAATGTGCATATTTCTAGTTTTCGCGTCATACTTTTGACATCACAAAGTTGATCCGAACATGACTACTCATCATGATATTGAAAATTTTAGCAATATGTACTATGGGTCACATTTTGGCATGAGTTTTAGGCCTCAACTCAATTCAAAAGATATACGTGTTTAGTACCAAAACAAAGATCTTGACGTGTGCTTTCCAACACATTAACATGTAAAAGTCGGAAATAAATACATAATTCGTACAACGTCCCTAAAGTAAGCTGCTCGATACGGGTTTAAACGTGTCTTAACTTTCAATTTTTACAACTTCTGAACTTGAACCCTACGAGTTTACACATCTTCGGATCATTTCATTGGCATCATTGCAACTTCTATGATCACGAATCCATAGTATACTTCCGTTATGGATTAATGAATAATCCGTATGATCAAGATCAATTAATAACACGATATAAGAAAACAAAAGTAATTTTAATACGTGATATAATGTGATTCACCCTCAAAGTGAGAGACGCAATGCCATGTGTCATTGTATTGTACCTTCGAAACGTTACCTAAGTCGCAACTTACTATCCTTCAAAAGATCAATACTAAACAAGACTTTGGTCATCAAGTTTCCTTGTCTCCTATTAACACTAAACAACTTTCAAAATATCTACATAGGACTCCACATTTAAATATATTTATTTAATAAATAATTTGCTAAATTGTTGTATTTATGATTAGCTACCTAATTAATTAATGCATTAAATGTGACTTGTGGATGAATAAACAATTAAACCTAATATAATTAGTTAGATAAAATGACTATTTTACACCTGACTCCAATTATAAATATTCGATGAGATTAAGAGAGGTTCTGCTATTGACATAACAACCAATAGACCATAGGTTAGCCTAACCCGGTCGTCTTGTGAAGAATTGGTAATTTCGATATGTCAAGGGCATTTGGATGGACATACATTAATTAATTAGAATTTAATTATTAGTTCAATAATTTATAGGAACTACTTGTAACATTGAATTTGCAAAATGATATTCGATCTTGATAAACTCCCCTAAAATGGCATTATCATCACTCAACTACCACAATAAGAGGGTTGTAAGTTGCGACTTAGGTAACGTTTCGAAGGTACAGTACAATGACACATGGCATTGCGTCTCTCACATTGAGGGTGAATCACATTATATAACGTTACCTAAGTCGCAACTTGCTGGGTTTTCCGGAGAGGGTTGTTACATGGATTACTGAGTGTGTTACTACCACTCGATTTTCGATTTCCATTAATGGAGAGTTGCATGGTTTCTTTGCTGGTGGGAGAGGATTGAGACAAGGAGATCCTTTGTCGCCTTATTTGTTTGTCTTGGCAATGGAGGTCTTTTCAGGGTTATTGGGGTTGATGGTTGCTGAACATGAGTTTAAATACCACTGGAGGTGTGAAAAAGGAAAAGCTCACCCACTTGTGTTTTGCTATTGATCTTATGGTCTTTTGTAGAGCTGAGATTGGGTCTGTTTCTCTCATTGGAGAGTGCCTTAGTCGCTTCAAAGCACTTTCTGGTCTTATTCCTAATCCAGATAAAAGTAACCTATTTGCTAGTGGTATTTCTTCATATCTTAAGGATCAGTTGCTTGATGCTTTGGGGTATAAGGAAGGCGTGCTACCAGTACGTTATCTTGGTGTTCCACTAATCTCTACCAAATTGCGGGCTCTGGACTGTAAGGTGTTGGTTGACCGTATTATAGCTAGGGCTAAAAGTTGGACCTCCCGAGTGCTCTCCTATGCGGGTAGGCTACAACTTATTAAGTCTGTGCTTTTTTCCATTCAGGTCTATTGGTCTTCGGTATTTATTTTACCTAAAGGCTGTGATCAAGCAAGTGGAGGCAACTTTGCAGGCTTTCTTGTGGAAAGGTTGTGACCTTAGCACTCGTGGTATTAAAGTGGCTTGGTCCAAGATTTGTATGCCTAAGGAGGAGGGTGGTCTGGGTCTGCATAACTTGGAGATTTGGAATAAGGCTGCCATGTTAAAGCACCTTTGGTCCCTTTGTACGAATTCTGCCTCCTCTCTTTGGGTTTCATGGGCACGATGTTACCTACTTCGTGGTAGGAGTATTTGGGAATTGAAATGTCCTGGGGATTGCTCTTGGAGTTGGAGGAAGATTCTTGGACTTCGGGGTATTGGGAGGGACAAAATGCAATTCAGAATCGGTAATGGTAGACTTGCTTATCTTTGGTTTGATAATTGGCATCCCCTTGGTCCTTTAGAGAAGATTTTTGGTGAGAGGATCATTCATGACTCCAGATTGAGTAGACAAGCTAACGTGGCAGAAATTGTTGACTGCAATACTTGGAAGTGGCCATTTGCACGTTCCCCGGTGTTGTTTGACTTGATGCAAGGTACACTTGATACTTTTCGACCTAATAGCTTGCGATGGGTGGAAAATGTGCACGGCGTCTTCTCTATTCGGAGTGCTTGTGAGTCTCTTTGACTTCATTGCCCTAGGGTGACCTGGCATCACATTGTATGGTTTCCTAAGTGTATTCCTCGTCATGCATTTATCCTTTGGCTAGTAATCCAAGGTGGCCTTTATACACAGTTAAAGCTTCTTCGTTTTGGTTTGGTACAGTCTATGCATTGTGTGCTATGTGGTGGTTCGGTGGAGGATTTGGATCATCTCTTCTTTACCTGCCCATTTTCTGAGCACGTTTGGCATGCTATGCATGCTAAATGTAACCTGCCTTGGGTTCGACGGAGTTGGTAAGAAACTCTTTCTTGGATGGAGCAGTTTCGTGGGAAATCAATGCGCTCCATTGTTANTCTTGGATGGAGCAGTTTCGTGGGAAATCAATGCGCTCCATTGTTATTCGTTTGATGTTTGCAGCTTCAATTTATGCTAGTTGGCGTGAGCGTAATTCTAGAACCCATGGTGAGGCTCCTAAACATGAGTCTATTATTATTCGAGACATTGTTTTTTCTATTTGTGCACGAGTGAATTTATGTAAGAGCTTGGTTCCATCTGATGAGAATAGGTGGTTCCAACGTTCATGGGGTTTTTCTGCGAATATTTTTTATTGATGTGGCTAGGTTATTAGCACTATTTATTGTTTGTGCTAGGAAGCATATTTTCTAGCCTTGTTTTCTGGGGTATGCCCCTGTGATCTTGTACTTATCTTCCATACTTTGGATATAATACACTTACTTTATCCAAAAAAAACTACCACAATAAGAGTGGAGAATTGAAAGCACGTGCTAGTTATACTTGTCTAAATAGTAGACGTTAGTAATGCTTGGGTACGCCTTAAAGTCCTCTTTAGATCCACCATCGTCAACTATCGAATGTCTCGCAACAGAAAAGTCTCTCTCTTGCATAAAATCTTTGACAGTGCATGTGCCGAACCTTCGATTCAGTGACGGAGTTTCCATCTCTCTATTAGATTTGTTGATCTTAAGGCTTACTAGAAATAAATGCTGTTAAAATTTAATTATTAGTTCAATAATTTATAGGAACTACTTGTAACATTGAATTTGCAAAATGATATACGATCTCGATAAACTCTCCTAAAATGGCATTATCATCACTCAACTATCACAATAAGAGTGGAAAATTGAAAGCACGTGCTAGTTATACTTGTCTAAATAGTAGACGTTAGTAATGCTTGGGTACGCCTTAAAGTCCTCCTCTTCAGGTCCACCATCGTCAACTATCGAATGTCTCGCAACAGAAAAGTCTCTCTCTTGCATAAAATCTTTGACAGTGCATGTGCCGAACCTTCGATTCAGTGGCGGAGTTTCCATCTCTCTATTAGATTTGTTGATCTCAAGGCTTACTAGAAATAAATGCTGTTAAAAAACATGTTCACTCCTCAGATTACTTCACTTGTACTAAGGTTTTGAAAGTTATTTGAACCAACTTAGTATATGTGATGTTCAAAGGATCATTGCTAAAATGTTTGGTTCAAGCAAAACTACATCCTGTTTCAGACCTTCAAAGAGGCATTGGGAGTGCTAGGGCCCACGTGCCAAAGATCACTATTAAGGGGTTTCCCCATCAAAGACTTGTAACTTGATTCTTTAGTCATTCCATACTCGAAAGAATTGCAAGAAATCGTTCGATAACACTACAATCCAATAGTATGTATCAAACATATCCTCAATGTTTTCCATAAAGATCAAATATATAATAAAACTAGAGCAACTTTTCGTTCCATTACATGAAATTGGATGATATTTATTAGCGGATTTGCAACCTCCCAGTACTATTGAAACTTTATTGAACTACTTTTACAGCCCATTTGTCACAGCCGCCAGCATATGGTAATCCCATCACCAAGAGGAACTTGAGAAATTTGCACCCGAGCATCAGCTGCCAGCAATTTGTTGAACTTGATGATCACATTCCTCGATGCAGAATACGATTCTGGAACAGCGTCGTCGGGCATTGCTACTGTTCCTCCCCAAAGGGTGTTATCATAGACAATTATCCCACCAGGCCTCAAAAGTTTCAACACTCTATCATGGTAATTCGCATAATTGATTTTGTCAGCATCAACATAAGCAAAGTCGAAACTTCCTTGATTTGCAGGCTGCATCAGAAAAGCAGATGAGAAAGAAATAAGCTTACGCAGAGATGACCACGCTATTTTCATATTTATAATACCTCTGGGAGGGGCGCTGTAGGAGTTTTGAATCTCGAGATAAATTATAAATCAAATGAAAAGATTTGATTACATAAGTCAGTCTGGCTAAGCTTAAAAAGAAGTATAAGTTACTATTATGCTTCCAGACATTTGGATAAGTTCCTTTTTCTTACTTTTAACTTAAAAATTTACTTATCTGAAAGCAACCTTTGCCTTACCATCAAAATAAGAAACATATTTCCAATTTTGATCTATAAAAAATTATTAAAATAAAATTTACTTGTTTTCTTGCAAGTATACTTTTTAAGCTTAGCCAAACATGATCCAAGGGAGTTTGGATTTGAGAATAGGTAAAGAAAGACAATTCAAGAGAGCCTATTTCTCACATTTTCCAACAGTTTATCAAGAGCTGGAAGAGCCTCAGACTCGATATAATTGATTTTGTGTTCGACCCCAGCTTTTTTAATAATTGGCAATCCCATCTCATACGAACTCCGGTCAAGGTCTATGGCTGTAATCTGCAGCAACACATTTTATATTCGATGAACATCTTGTTAGATAGATACGCTAGAAACTAGAAAGAGAAAATGAGGGTTGAAGAAGTAACATTTCCATCATCGGGAATAGTAAGGGCAGTTAGAAGCAGAGAATATCCCGTAAAAACTCCAATTTCGATAGTCCTCTTTGCATTAACTAGCTTTAAAAGCAAGCTCATATGTTGACCTGCATCAGGAGCTGTGGCCATCATTGCCCTGGAAATTATAAGGCTATAATTATTTTTTCTATAGAAAGAGTGAGCGAGTGAGAACATAACGAGATAATATTGAAAAAACAGTAGACTTAGCCACCAGTACTACAGTTTCAATACTAGGCTGCTCAAGATCTTAACATTTATCACATTGTTGTTCCTAGTATCTTCATTCTCAAATTTACTGACACGTGGGTGGATCTGCAAAAGTGATTAAACAAGTACTTTTTGAAGGCTATTACAATCTATAAGGTTCATCAAGAATACACAAGAAAAGCTTCAAATTGTTGATCAATTGCCGGAGTTAACTTAGAACCACTAGTTAACTTAGAATACACAACAATGTTGATTAATCTACTGAACCTTTCCAATCAAAAACTCTATCCAAAAGAACTCGAAACTTATCAAATATGTTTCTTCTAGTGGATGCTATTGGAAAATGAAAGAGATATTCGAACCAAATGAAGTTCTGACCACTATCAGAGAAAATGGAATGAAGGCATCTTGTAAAACACGACATATGTCATCAAAACAATCTCAGAAGACATGATCCCGACCAGATACCTAGCATGTATCTCCTCTTTCAGGGTTTTATATATGGTTATACCTACCGACTAATAAATGGAAAAAAGTAAACATACAAAAGAAATACATCACACATGTACTGAAAGCAATAAAATCTGTTGAAGAAAAAGGAATATGCTCAACTTATTATGGAGGTCGTGCCTTCTCAACTAGATAGGCAATAGTGACTCCATTTCTATTTTCAATAACTCAAATAGTTAATGTTTCCTCAATCCACTCAGGCAGAACAACCAAATTCGTTGATCATTTATCAAGATATCAACAATTTTGGGCACAAAAGGCGTAGACAGAAAGCAATTACCGCGGATGACGTGAAGTAACAGCCCTTAGCTCTCTGAGAGGCTCTGGTTCACGTGGATACACACTAGTTTCTAGTACATACTTCCTCACAGAAAAAACACAAAGTAAATACGTTTTCACTTGAAAAAACAAACGCTAAATATTTCTACCCAAGATTTTTTTTTTTTTAAAAAGAAAGATTACTTGGTACAATTCAGCAGTCCGCAATAATCCTTTGCTAGTAATGGCATTAGTCTTCATTTTGCCTTCCATCACCTTTTGAGAAAAATAAACAAAATCTTGAAATTACAGTGAAATGACATATCTTAGAATTTATACACAAAATATGACACCTGCCCCAAAGAAACTCATCAAAAAATTTCACCAGTCACTGTTTCTACCTCTTATCATGTTGGAAAAAAAGAAAACGGTTCTTGCCTTTTTCTTGAAATATATAAAAAATGACCAGATCTGATGATTCTTAATTCTGTAAAATAATTTCCCCAAATCAAATATGATAACCTCAAAACTAACAACACAGCACCATATGGTATTGGGAAAGTATCTAAAACAACATAAAACTATATGGGCTCAAATTTTTTTTAAAAAACTGAAGTAGTAATCAAAAAGAGAGAGTAATAATGATCACAAATCAATAAACTGTAAACCCATATATAAACCGGGAGAAAAACTCGCAAGCTTAGCGGCTCAGAGAGAGATAGACATGTACCCTGTCGGCAGTCAGTGGAGCGTGAGGAAGAGACGGTTGGAAACTACAAGGCAAGAATTTTTGTACAACACTTTCCTTCACGGTGTAACAAATTTTTAATAATTTATAAATAGTTTTTCATAATTAACAAATTTTTAAATTATTATAAATCTCATTTATTATCAGTAAAAAGAAATTTTATGATCATAAATAAGTTTGATCAACGAAATAAATTTAGATATTTACTAGAGAATGTTTGCCTAAGATTAAAATCTGATTAAAATTGAAAATATAGTCGTTATTAGATCTCACTCGTAATTAACATTGTCAACATAACATCTAGTTTTTTAATTTAAATCTGATTTTAATTTCTACTGAAGACGCCCTATGTAGCGAAGTTAAACTTGGTCGATGTTTGGTTTAGCTTAAAATTGCATTTTTTTGTAGATTTTGATAAATCAATTATGTGATTAATAAATTGATAAAAGTGGTGGGTTCAATAAAGGGTAATTATCACATAACGTCCTCACATTTCATTGTTATTGTGGAAAACGTTAACACATTTCATTTTTTGGCATTATTTCCACCTTTCATTGCGCAAAAGATCATTTTAATCCATTTCTCAATTAAAATTGTGAAATGACGAAAATACCTTTTCTTTAAATAAAAAAAAAAAAAGAAAAAAACTAATTGCAAACATAGTACTAACTTTTTTGAAAAGCGTAAATGAGTCTCAAATAAATTATTAAAATGGTAATTAGCACATAATATCCATACCTTTTACCATTATTGCGAAAAACATCCCTACATTTTATTTTATTTTTTTGCATTTTCTTCCCTAATTATAATTTCATAAATATATTTCAAACCATTATTTCTATCAATAGTCCATCTCATAGTTTATTGATTTTCATCAACTTTGCACCCGCCAACAAAGCTAACATTGTGTCAAAACGCTTACTTCTTCAATTTCTTCTCTAATTTTTAATTATTTTTTTTTTAATAAAACCTTCTTATAACATTCATAACGATAATTAGCAAGGTGAATCTTGTACTAATTAATTGAGTAGTACGTAGAAATGAACTTAGAGGGTGAGGCAACAAGCTAATGCTACGAACTCGCGTGCGGGCTCTCGAAAGAGAGAACTCTGAAATGAGTTATCAACTCAATGATCTCATTGAAGGGTAAGGAGCCATTACAACAGTACCCTAAGTAATGGAATGAATGCTATTATATGGAATTTATTGTTAAAAAAATTAGTTAGATTGAATAATGTCCAAATGATAATAATGAAGTCGTAAAATAGAACAAGATAACTCTCGCTTATTCTTTCTTTTACTCAGCCAAATTACATTCTAATCGACATTTTATATGTCAAAGCTTGATTGTTGTGAGTCATGTTGCACCACTCCATTATACAGAATCTTGGAGGCGGGATCGTCTAACATTGAATACAAATTAATTCTTCTTTCGCTCCTTCATAATAAATGAAATAAATGTGAAGTTGAACTTTTACCTAATTTCTCAATAAAAAACTGTGAAATGATGAATATACTCTCATATTTAAATAAAAAAAATATATTTTTTAATTTCTAATTCTTTAATAATTTATTTGGGACTCGTTTGCATTTTTTAAATTTTTAAATAAATTTAATTGGGATTCGTTTGCACTTTTTTAAAAAATATAATTTTTTAATAATTTATTGGGGACTTGTTTATTTTTAATTTCTAATTCTTTAATAGTTTATTCGAGACTCGTTTGTACTTTTTAATTATTATTTTTTAAAATTTTAAATAAATTTAATTGGAACTCATTTGCTCTTTTCATAGAAAAATTAATTTTTTTAATAATTCATTGGGGACTCGTTTGCATTTTTTAAAAAAGTTGGGACAATGGTTGCAATTAATTCCTTAGCTTTTTTATTTAAATATAAGAGTATATTCGCCGTTCCACTGTTTTTTATTGAGAAATTGGATAAAAATAGATAGAAATGATAATTTGCGCTATAAAATGATAATTAAGGGAGAAAATGTCAAAAAAATAAAAAGTATGGATGTTTTTCGCAATAATAGTGAAAGGTAAGGACATTATGTGCTAATTACTCTTTTAATAATTTATTTAGAATTCATTTGCGTTTTTCAAAAAAGTTATGACTATGTTTGCAATTAGAGCCTGTTTGATAGGCCATTATGTTCCATGAAAAATGGAAAACAAATTTCAACTTGCACTTTTGCCTTGTTTGATACTTTTTTTCCATAAAAAAAAAAAAAAAATTCTTGGTTTGGCTCATAGGCTCACATTTTCCTTGATTTTTTGGAAAACCAATTTCCACCAATTGATTTTCTAGCTTCTTTTTTTTTTTTTTGGAAAACGTTCTAGACATAATAGTAAAAAAAATTATTACTTTTATTGACAATTTTCATGCAAAATAAAGCCAAACGAATGGTATTCGGTATGATAATTTTTTTTAGCAATTAGAACAAATTTTAAACCTAATGGTAAAAAAAATTATCACTTTAAAGGACAATTATCATAAAAAACGAAGTCAAATGGATACCAAACTTTCAACATTTTCTAGGTGAAAAATTATAACAATTAAACACAATTAATTACAATTCTCAGTAAAACAATTTCTAAGCAATTTAATTATTTGTAAAACATTTTCTTTCCACCCATTTTTTCACATTTGCAATCAAATGGACCCTTAGTTTTTTTCCTTTTTCCTTCTGTTTTATTTAAAGGGAAGGTTATTTAAGTCATTTTACAATTTTTAATTGAGAAAATGATAAGAATGACGTTTTGCGCAATAAAAGATGAAAATAATGGTGAAAATGCCAAAAAATGAAAGGTATAGACGTTTTCCACAATAACAGTGAAATGTGGGAACGTTATGTACTAATTACACTTCAATAAATGTATAGTTGAAATTGAGTTTAAAGAAAAGTGAATATTAGAAAAATGGGGGCAAACATGCACTTAATACAATAAAGAAAATTTGCAAGGTTTGTCCACAGCCTTTGCACAAGGTAATGAACCTACCATAAACATTTTCTGATCATAATTCATTTCCAACTTTTAAATTATGTAACACAACTCTATCATTTTCTCCATTTTAGCCATTAAATGATGGATTCGGCGTCCCTTTTAAATGCAGAAAAATAAAGAAAGCAATAAAATGAAAAGATAATGAAAAATTGTAGATGACGTCCAATAATTTTTAAAAAAATACAAATAAATCTCTCTTAAAAGAAATAAGTGTTTTCCTCCAAAGTACAGGAGCAAAACCTACAGGGGCTGCCGGTGACTCACGCTGGCGGGCCCCACATGTTTAAAAAGAAAAAAAAAACACACCCTTCCCCCTCTATTAGTGGCCTGACATTGAACCCACTCCCTCCCCCTGTACGTGTATCATTGCCCAAGAAATAAATGTGTCTGAACACATCAAAATAAATTTTAAAAAGTAAACATTTCATCTTCCCTAATCAAGCTGATCCACCTCCACCTCCACCTCCACCTCCACCCTACCCTACCCTATATGTAACTCCCCAAATTTTATTGATTTAAATTTTGAAGTGTTACCGATAATATTTCATACTCATACATAAAGTGGAAATATTTAATTGAAGATTTAAACTTAAATAAATTTAAGTATTCATAATATCCAATTAATTCAATCTAAAACATTAAATCAGAAACTTTAAGTGTTAAATAGAAATCTAAAAATAATTTTTACTGATAGTTCCCTTGAAAATATTTTACTTGGCGGCCCGCTCATCATTTAGCCACCATCCACGTTGAACCAATCCAACCTGTATAGTTAAAATTTTTGAAGGAATGAGTATTTTAAACCCAGTAAGATACGTGCGTCCAAAACAATATAATAATTCTTTAAACATAAATACATAATATTCCATACCACCATTTCATCAAGAGCTATCGGTGATCAATCAAATACTCCAACACATTTATGTGCAAACATTTGAGAAAACCCCGGAGGAAATCTCACATTTCATTTCATTTCATTGAGACCCGCATGTCAATTAGCGTTTCATGAAATAAATCATGTAAAAA